GCTCTTGGCTTGAGGTCCAGGAACCGGGGGTCTTTGGAAGCTGACTTGCAGGAAGGCATTGGCAAGTCACCTGAACTCTCTCGGCCTTGATTTCTTCAGCGTTGAAATCAGAATAACACGGCCTTCCTTGCAGAGCAGACACAGCAGCCTGGGTTGTGCCTGAACAACGTGTATTCAGTTGAAGCATAAGAAATTGCCGGGTTTTCAAATAATGGTTCCACCCAATAGTTATCATTTCATTAGTATTAGCACATCATCAACCATGTGCTCTCGGATTTTACCTGTCTCCTCGTCTCAAAAACAACGGCGCAGTGGCGGGTGCCCACCGAAGCTCAGTCTCCCCCGTCTCGTCCCCCTTCTCAGCTGGTCTCTTCTTCTCCTGTGGGTGGTCACAGGGCAGCCTGACCTCTCTGCTGAGAACCGCAGCCCCGTGGGGAGGAAGATGAAGTTGTGACAGAGACGGGAGAAGAGTAAGGAGCCGGCTTCTACAACCATCTCCGCAGAAAAGTCTTCAGAGTTCAGAGAAAAGAAAAAAGCAAACCAGGTCACGCTTTGACAAACCTGACACCGAGCAGCCCTGTGACGTCGCGCCTGAGACGTCCAGGGGGCTGGGGGACGGGACACCAAAGCACTGCAGACCGGCCTCTCCCTTTTCCATCCTCCCTGCCAGCTCTCTCCCAGACTCCCTGAGCAGGGCTTAACAAGAAAGCTCGTTCAGTGTGTTCACAGCTAAGAAAACAGCCGAAATGTTCTTTTGGCAGCTGGCTGCCACCTGGAGCCATGGCAGAACTGAAGGTCGCAGCTCTGGGGAGGCCGCGGCGGCCCGGTGGCCAGCCTCCTGTCCCCGGGTCAGTGGCTGTCAAACACTGAGGGCAGAGGCGGGTGCTCTCCAGGGATGGGGGCGCCACCCCACCCCTAACGCCCGCTGCAGGGTCTGATCTCACGCCAGGCCGGCAACCATTTGCCCGACTTTAGCCCTTCCTTTCTTTATCTATAATCAATAGCTCCCGACAGCGTATCTGCACTGGCCTTAGGGATCCAGGGATGAACAGAACAGCCTTGTGGATGCCCTAGTCTGTCTCACTGTCTAGCTCCCAACTCCTCCACCAGCCTGGAGCCAGGGGAGGGCAAGACCCCGGTGGCACAGGACACACTCGAGGCACTTCCTAAATAGTTGTTCACCGTTAAATAAAGGGATGAACGAATGTGTGACTCGCTCGATTCCACAGGAGCATTGTCAGTAACAAGATTCTCACTGCTTCGCAAGTTGCCCTTGTCCCTGGAGGGAACCTGCTGGAAGTGGAGGGCCCCAGACAGGCGGGGTGCCGTGCCCCCAAGCCTCCTGCCACTGCCCATCAGGGAGACCATGGACCTTCTACACACTGGGCTGCAACCAGGAGCTGGGGAGTCCCCAGGGCTGAACCCTCCCTGAGCCTGGGCTCATCCCCCTCCACCACCCCTCCCTGAGGCCTGGACATTCTCAGCACCATTTCTTGGAAGGAGACAATGGCTAATGATTCGAAGTTCTGGAATTCAGTACAGGAAGTGGTCATTTAGACAAGGGGAAAGGATGCTGATGAAGAGACAAGAATTCCGGGTTCTGGCCTCCACAGGCGGGGACGGGGGTCAGGCGGGCCCAGGGTCAGTGGCAGCTCGGATGTCTGGAAGCTGTCCGGTTTCTGGCAGGTCACTCACTCCCCTCACGGAGCCCCGGCTTTCTCCTTTTAAGAAGGGATGATAACATCTGCCTCGGCGGATCCCCCTCCGGGTCCTGTGAAGAACCAGGAGCGCAGAGGTCCCGCTGGCACACGAGGACGCTGGCTGAGGGAACAGTGGCTGCTCAGAGCCCCACTCCGTGCCCCTCACACTCAGTGCACCGCCCTGCCCCCACGGTCCAGCAACTACAGGGTTAACACCTAGCCCAACAGTGGGTCTCCAGGACCCTGATGACCCTTCTGATTGGTTGGTACCCGTGTTGACCTACTGGCCATGCCAAAATGCTTTGTAAACTGTCTGAGCCAGTTGAATCCCCAGACCCACACCTTCAGCTCAGATCCCGCCTCCTGATCACAGGTACTCAGCCCCGCCCCCGGGCTCCACCTGGATGTCTCATAGGCACGGCATGCTGTCCACTCCCAAACTGAACTGAGTCCTGCTAAACCCATCTGAGAAATTGGCTCCATCCCTGCCCAGCTGCTCCAAGTAGCATCCATACCCAGTGTGGCCCCTGTCTGGCAATTCTGTTTCCTCTAAGTCCTCTGGATCCGTCCCTCCTTCCTATCTCCACTCACCTGTGCCCCATCACTCCTCTGCTAAGTCAGGCCAACCTTTCCAGTGGCTTCTGGGCTCCAGTCTCTCCCTCTATTTCATTCTTGCACTGTGGCTGCCTCCCACCAGCAGGGTCTCTCTTTGACCCCTCAGTGAGAGGGCAACCAGCAGGGACAGCCCTCAGCAATGGCTGTCAGTTTAGAGTTCCTGGGCAAGGAGTTTCTCAGATAATTTGTTGGCAAAAGTTTATTGAGGGCTGATCTCAAGAACAATATCTGTTGGGCAGTGGGACCACTGGGGCTGTGATGCAGACCCCACAAAGGCCTCAGGCCACCCCTTGGGAAGCTCTGGAGTTGCAATGACTTCTCATAGTTGCCCCAAGTTGGAGCAAGGGGGCTGGGCCTTTATTCCACCCTGTGGACCAATGACTGGATGCCAGCTTGTCAGGGAAGGGGAGTGACATTACATGAGGAGTGACTCTTCAGCCTGAGGCATGGGAAGGAACGGAGTTCTGTCGGCAAGCTGGCGGCCAAGGAGGGACGAATGCTCCAGTCGGAGGTGGGAGACAAGGGCCGCTGGGCAGTGGACCGCAGGGCCCCCTGGGTCAAGCACATCCTCAGGAATGTTTGTTTCATGATGAAAAGATACATTGACATTGCCTTCAAGATACATTCGGATGTCTTATTTAGTACACGAGGCTTTTCACGATCTGCCCCCGACACCCTCTCCCCTCCACGTGCATCTCTCACCCCTCCCCACTTGCTTCTAGCTTACCAACCACACTGTGCTTCTTGCAGCTTCCCAGGCTCAGCATGCTATTCACACCTCTATGCCTTTGCACATGTTATTGCATCTGTCTGGAGTGCCTTTAAATGGAGGGGAAAAAAATCCTATTTTCTTCTTCCAGCCCATTCCTGCTCATCTATGAAATGGACTCAACTCTGCCTCTCCTGGGAAAGCTTCTACTGATTCCTTTAAGCAGGTGCTCCCACACGACCAGGGTGCAGTTGTTGGGTGCCCATCTGCATGAGACCTTCATCCAGGCTCAGATCCACTGAGCCTGGATGAAGGCTGCAAGGGGCTGGTGCCACGAGGAGCCTCAGTTACTCAGGACGCATTCGTGGAACTGGAGCAGGAGGTCTCGGGAAACGTGGGAGGCAGGGAGAAGAAACCAGCAGTGCGAAGCCGGGAACCAGGAGAGTGCCCCCGCACCAGGAGAGGGCTGGCAGCACCCCACACTGTCCGCCTGACTGTGGGCAGCGTGCTTCTCCCCCCACCACCCCCTTCCTCGTGATCATCAAGGCCACAGTGTCCACTACAACCACGCCCTGGGCCAGGTGCTGTTAGACACACTTCCCTTTAAATCCTATTTTATCCTCACTATCGGTAGCCCCCAGTAGTGAGTACTATTATTACCAACAGTTTACAGATATGAAAACCGAAGTTCAAAAAGTTAGGAGCTCCGACCAAGGCCGCACTGCTGGACACTGGACCGTGTGACATAAGGACGCTATTCTCCACACCAGCAGGCAGCTGGGACACGCTGACCTCATCCCTTCCCGCTCCCCCCTCCCATCACTGACTGAGGAACTCCCTCCCTAAGTGAAAGAACGTCCCACTGGGATGTAGGGTGGGCCCAGCTGCTGTCCCCAGAGACTTGGGCGGGGCTTTGGGAAGGGGTGAGGAGGACATTCAGAATCACGTCTGCCCTTCCAGTTCAGACCCAAACCATGTTTGACTCAGCTGCAGTTATGAGTGTTGTTTGGAGAGATCGTCCCTCCTCCCTGCAGGGGAAGAGCCCCATCCCAGAGCTGGCCTCGGCTACAGCCTGGACTTGGGCTCCCAGATCAGGGCCCTGCCACTGCCAGGCTGCTGTAGCAGAGGCCGTCTTGAAGGGGAAACCTGAGGATGCTGGGAAAGTCCCTCCTCACCCACACAGAGGGCTGCGGACAGTGCCTGAGGGCCCCCTGCATGAGGAGCAACCAGACCCTCGCTCAGGTCTGAAGTCTCCGCCCTGGCTGGGAGCCCCCTGCCTTGGCTCCCTCACCTTAAGAAATGCACAAGCAGCCAGGGGCTGGTTCTAGGGACTTGGGGAGGGAGCAGACACCAAATCAGGACATGACAGGGACAGATGGACACACAAGAGGCAGCATAGCTGAGAGAGAGGCTTTTAGCTGGACTGGTTTTAAATTGGGTGCCAAATGTGTCCACCATGGCAACTTTGGGAGGGCACCTTCCTGCACCGAGCCTCAGTGTTTTCATCTCGAAACAGGTCCAGAGTTACCGTCTGGCAGGGCCGTCATGGGGACTCAACAAGATAGACATTGAGGGTATTTGACAACTCGACGGGGCCCAGTGCCCAGAAGGGGATGTGGATGGCAGCTGAGACTACTAGTCATTCTAGTGGACTTGTCACATGGCTCCAGTCCTTGCTGGACAACATAGACATTTCTTGGCCTGGCACTTAAGACACCCATCCTGTAGGCATCCAAAAAAAAACCCCTATAACACTAACTCGAAAGAATATATGCACCCCTATGTTCACTGCACCATTATTCACAATAGCCAAGGTACGGAAGCAACCCAACTGCCCATCAATAGATGAGCAGATCTAAAAGCTGTGGTACATATATACAGAGAAATATTACTCAGCCATAAAAAAGGATGCAATCTTACCATTTGTGACAGCATGGATGGACCTAGAAGGTATTATGCAGCGTGAAATAAGTCAGTCAGAGAAAGACAATATGATTTTACTTATATGTGGAATCTAAAGAACAAAACAAACAAACAAAAAAAACAGAAACAGACTCTTAGATACAGTGAACAGACTGACGGTTGCCAGAGGGTAGGGGGCTTGGGGGCCTGGGTGAGAAACGTAAGAGACTAAGAAATACCGACTGGGAGCTGCAGGACAGGCACGGGGACATCAGGCACACCACAGGGAACACAGTCAGTGAGTAACTGTGTCTGCTGCCAGTGGGTGCTGGAAGTTTGGGGGGACACTCTGTAAAGTATATGATTGTCAAACCACTATGCTGTGCACTGAAACTAAAACAAAATAATACAAAATATAAACGGTAATTGAGAAACACAATGTAAAAAGGTTGCTAATATAAAAAAAAGACTCGTGCCCTGCCTCTTCAGTTCCCTCACTCACGCTTTGCTCTAGCAGTTCCAGCTTTCTCTCTCATACCCTAAGTTTTACTGAAATTATATGTTTACTGTGTGTTCACTGGTCTTTTCCCCAGCTTGACATGGTTCTTTAGGGGGAACCTAACTATTTCTAGTTCCTCTGTGTCCTTGGAGGCCAGCACAAGGTGTGGCCAGGGCGCCCAGTGCCCAGGGTTTATTGAATCACACGGAGTTCTGTGGTTTCTGAAGGCAGAATGGCCCCCAGTGGTCTTCGATTCAGGGAGGCAGGTGCAGCGTGAGGAAGGCGTATCTGCTGGAACTGTCCGCAGGGAGGAGGAAGATGCAGCTGGTTTCCTGGCAGCATCCAAGCAGACCCCGGGTGGGTATTTGGCAGGCATGTGATCACCAAGGGCCCAACGGGACCCACAGGCCTGGGGAGACATGTCCGAGTTGGAAAGCTGTTCAGAGACCCTCAAGTCCAACTCCCTCACATACAGACGGGGTGATGAAGGCGCAAGAGGGGAACAGACTTGCCCAAGGTGAGCCAAGGCCAAATCCAGGATGAGGAGCAGGTCTCCGGGCTCTGCAGAAGGAGGACAGGTACTGTTTTATACGTTTTACAAAAAAGAAGTCTGAGGCCCAGAAGGAGGCAGAAACTCTCTGAAAAGGTCTCCAAGAGAGTCTGTGACAGATCACAATCCATCTCTGGCTCCAAGGCTTCTGCACGGCTGCCAGGGCTGAAAGGTTCCTGGCTGGCAGAGTGAGAGTCAGAAGCCTGGTCCCCACCCCTGTCGGGGGGTGGGGCTGGAATGAGTCACTTCCTGGGGCCACTGCTCCGCAACTCCAGCTGGAAAAGCCACCTCACATTCCCTTGGCTCCGCTGACCAAAACACCAAAATTCTGTCAGGGCAGTCCTTGGCCGCAACCCTTTCTCTCTCAGGGGGAAAGAGAGAGGAAGGGAAGGGAAGGGGAGAGGATAGAATGGGTAGGGAGGGGAGGAGAGGGGAGGAGAGAAGGCTCTCCAGCTGTGAGGGGAGGCTGCACCAACCTGGGAAAGTCAAGCAGCAGGGAGGAAGCATCTGCAACCAGGGGCCACAGCTGCAGCCCCTGGGCAGCTCCACCTCTCAGCCTTTGAGAACCAGGAGAAGGAGCAGCTCAGATTTGCAAAGGCCTCAGCTGTGCTCCCCTCAGACCCCTGCTTGACCCTCAGGTGCCCCCTCCCCACCCCACCCCCAGAATCCATCGTCTCAGCTGCCGTCCTGCCTCTAAAGCATCAGACGCGTCTAATTCAGCATGATCTCTCTTGCCTTTGTGCCTCTGCACGTGTGGATCGTTGTCTGGGACAGTGTTTCCTCCCTCGCCCCTCTAACTCCTACTCAGCCTTTACTTCCTCCTCTGAGGCTCCTTTGAGAGGACTTCTAGACCCTTCCACTGGGCACCTCCACTTCCCTGAATGGATCACATGCTGCCCGCCCTGGCTTCCCCCATCCTAGGCACCTCCTTCCCTCGGCCACAGCGCGGGTCACACCAGTGATCACTGTCTGGGTCTGGGTCTGCCTTAGTCACCAGACTGGAAGCCTCTAGAAAACAGGATTAGCCTTGGACTTAGGCAACAGCCCCCAGTGCAGCAAAGGGCTGACCGCAAAGAATGAACTAGTTCATTCATTCATTCATTTATTCATTCACTCACTAAACAAACAATGACCAGACACCAACTAAAAGCCAGATGTTGTTCTAGGTGCAAGAGATGGAGCAGTAATGCAGACAAGTCCCCGTTGCATGACCATCAATCACTCTGTGTGTAGTGGGGGGCGGGAAGTGCAGGGACAGTGACAATAAAGTAATCCAAATTAGTTTGGATGATGAGAGATGCTATGGAAAAAGGAAAACAGTGTTTATTGACCAGAAACTACAAATATGGAGGCAGGGGTTTCAGACAGGTTCAGTGGGCAGAGGGTGGGGGGAGGGGCAGGGCACGGTAAATTCCAGACCTACCTGCAGGCCCACCCCCACCTCCCCCACCCCCACCCCCCATTCCCCCATAGGTCTCTCTGTTCCCTTCCCTCTCAGGGGCTGCCAGGTGCTGGGGTAGAAGGCAGGTGAGAAGGAAGCCTTGTTCCACCACCACCACCCACCCCCGGAAGTGCCAGACATCTCTCCCACCCAGACACACTGCCCGGCTCTCCAGGAATTCGATTCAGCAACAGCTACTGAACAGTTAATTATGCAACAGCCACAATAACTGTCAATTATTGCAGGCCTGGGAATTTCAGGGGCAGAGGTGGCCTCCCTCTCTCACAGAGCCGGTCCACAGCCTGGCCAGGTGGGGAAATGCCCAGGGTCCCACAGCTGATCCCTGGTCCAGCTGGGATTTGAGCCTAGGCCTGGTGACTCCTGGGTCCATGCGCTTCCCACCAGACCCCACAGCCCCCTGAAGCCGTAGAGGGTAGGCAAGTCGTCCCAATGGTGGTCAGAGCCAGAGCCTGAGCCTGGATTCCAAGGTCCTAATCCCAACACGGGTTTGCTGAGTCAGAAGAAGCGCCTTAACTTCTCTGGGCCTCAGTTTCTCTTTGTGTCAAGAGGAGCCCATTAGCCCAGTCCACCTGAAAAGGTTGCTGTGAGGATCAGATGAGATACAGCATATAAGTTATTTGGAAAATACCATCATGACAAGCCGTCAGCCCCTCTATGCCACCCTCCCTACCCCTCCAGCTCCGCCCTGGTGTCGGGCCTAAGTCAAGCGGGCCGAACACTCACGGCAGGTGCCGAACAGGAGCACGCTGCTGACTCAACCCCTATGAACCCTGCTTACCTCACAGCCTGGCAGACAGAAAGCCAGCATCAAGGCCAGGAATGGCACTGAGGACTGGATTGCCATTTGGATAAAGGTGAGGGCTGGGTCAAGGGTTAGAAGTCCTGCAGGTTTGTGCTAAGGCAGAATGACTCAGTGATATCTCCGCTTCCCTGCCGCCCTTTCCACGCCTAGATGGGGAGGAACTACTATGGGCTGGCGTTTGCTCAGGCATTATCTCATTTAATCTACTGTGCAAATCACAGAAATGTTAACTAACCAGCTTGCTATTGCACACTGAGTGCATTAGCCTGCCCAGGCTGCCATAACAGAATTCCACAGAGTGGGTGGCTCAACTGACAGAAATGCATCTGCTCACAGTTCTGCAGGCTGGGAGTCTGAGATTAAGGTGTGGCAGTGTTGGTTTCTGCCTAGGGCCTCTCTACTGGGCTTGCAGATGGCCGTCGTCCTGTTCACATGGCACTCTCCCTGTATCTGCGTGCAAACCCCCTCTTCTGGAAGGGCACCAGTCATATTACACTCGGGACCACACATGACCTCATCTTAACCTTAAGATGACCTTAACTTAATTACCTTTCTAAAGACCCCATCTCCAAACATAGTCACATTCCGAGGTCCCGAGGGTCAGGGCTCAAAGATGTAGATTTAGGGGAGATTCAATTCAGCCCGTAACAAGGAGTAAGTGACAGAGCCAGACTTTGAAATTGGGTCTTTCTCGCTTAAAAATCTACCCTTTTCCTACCATAACATATCATCTCTCCCCTTCTCCCTGAACCAAACCTTTCTCTTTGGCCTGCATGAGGGGAGCTAACGTGTTCTGAGCACCTACTGCATACACGGTGCTTTGCCGTCACTATTTCATTTAATGTGACAACCCTGTGAAGCGGACCCCTTGAAGAAACTGGAGGAAAGTGGCCCCCTTGAGGAAAGTGGCCGGAGGACACACCGGACGTTAGCGGCCCAGGCAGGGTGTGTGCTGGCGTGCCTGGCCCTCTCTTCCTGCCACACTGCTTCCCCTCCTGGGTTGATACTCACCTCACTTGACCATGGTACGGCCGCATGGCAGTACGGCAGCATGGCCAAATGGACGCTGGCACTCCCAACTGGGACACAGGGCTGCTAGGCATTGACCACTGAATTGCTGGAGTACCTGGGCAGAATGGGGAGCACCAGGGGAAACTGAGGGAAATCTAGTTACCAACTGATCTAGAAGCAGAACAATCTTCTTACAACCAGTAAAGCAGCCCTGATACATAGAGACTGAACACCGGTCCTCCTCACCTCCCTCAGCCATTCCTTTGGGGGTTAGGACCATGGCTAAAGGCCAGAATTAGCTGATGGAGGTGGAAACACTGCCAGGAGCTCCTTCTGATCTAGAAGGTGCTTGATGAGAAGGTGTTTCCTTCCCTTGAAAAGAGAAGCCCTGTCTAAGGAATACAAACTCGGAGCAGAGGGAGCAGGGCTGGAAGGCGCCTGGGAAGTAGTACCGCCCCAACCCCTTATTATACAGGTAGCGGGACTGGAGCCCAGGGGCAAGAATATGCTCAAGTTCGTACAGTGAGCGAGACCAGAGCCAGGGTCACTACATCTCCCCAAGTGCTGAGACTCCGCCAGAACCAGCCTCCCATGCCCGCTCATTGCCTCACCCCATGGGGGCGGGCTACAGGTGAGCGCGAAACAACTGTTGGTCTCCTGGCTTCCCCTAGAGATACGAAGCCAAGAACAGGTCACCGGAGTTCCCTGGACTGCCTTCCCCTGACCTGAGCTGAGCTAGGCTGAATGGGGCTGGAAGCCATTCCCGGAGACGCCTCAGCCCCCTGCCTGTCCAGGGCCAGGTCAGCTGAGCATGCTGTCGACCACAGGGTCTGGAAGCGCCTCTATCCGTGACTGAGAGGGCAGGGGCCTCATAGCACAATTGGAACTCCTTCCACCCTGAGTCCCATGTAAGTGAAGCTGTTAAGAGCACAGACTCACTAAAACCAGAGGACCTGGGTTCAAGCCTTAGCTCCATCACTGACAAATTCCATGAAATCCAGTCAGTGACTTAGTAGCTCTATGCCTCAGTTTCCCTCTCTGTAAAATATGAATGACAACAGTAGTGCCTTTCACATGTAGAGTTGTGAGGATCAGATGAGATAAGACAAGAACTGCAGCTTGCCCCCTGTAAGTTTCAGGGACGTTAACTTCAAGTGTTATTTACTGGGGCCATTGTCACAGGTGCCAACAGCACAACAACTGATCTCAAGTCCCAGCTCTGCCTCTGCCTCTTTCTCACTGCGTGGCCTTGGACAACCACTGCCTCACTGAGCCCCCATCTCCAAAACGAGGGTGTGAGCCCTGCCCACCAGGGTCACTGTGAGCTCCAGAGGTGACGACAGCCTGAGCCCCAGGAAAGGCTCTGCAAATGTCTAGTTCCTGTGTCCAGCACAGAAACTAAAAGAAAAGCAGGTTGACAGACAAGTCAACCTGCTTTTTTCTTCCTTTTGGGACAGGTCCTCCCTGCAACTCCAAATAGTAGATCAAAGAACCAGCGGGGGTGGAGGGAGCCCTGCCTCAGCCACAGGCAGTTCACTGACCCTGGCGGCTCAGCATGTACTGAACCCTCCCTCCTTTATGTAACTGTTCCCAGGACATCTGTTCTGATTAGGTCAAAGCCATAGCTGATCAACTTTCTTCACCTATCTGGCAGGGCACCTGGGTTATGTCATGCACTGGCCTTGGGCACACACCCTCGTGCAACCGCACACTGGGTCCTGTTCTGCTCTTTCCCT